TTTTGTTGTTATCAGTCTTAGAAGTTAATTTTGTTAAACCCACGAATATTACAGTATAATTACAAATTATACCCCGTCCCTATGTTACTTTGTAGTCCATGGTTGAAGATGGTTGGAGTCTACTTAATTTAGTTAATGTATGAATTTACTATTAGTGACTGCATACATACATTGTTTAAATTAACAGTTTACCTATACATACACCAACATATTTTACTTTACAATGGTCAATTTATTTTTTAGAACAATATTCTATTCATATTTCACGGTGAAAATAGAGAATAAGTTTTTTTTTATATATGCAATTAATCTCTAGTTCAGGAAACAAAGACAAATTAAGGTGACATGCAAAATAATGAAAAGACCATGATAGAGCTTCATTTATATAATAAAAAGAAATTGTCTATTCAAACAAGCACATTATACGAGGGTTTACACCTGATTGTTACAAACAATCCCTCATAACAATACTGTAAACAATACTCTATGTTATATCTATACAATACCTTATTATTTGGCACAATAAGCTGTTCAACATACAATGATGAAATTCGGTCCAACAGGACATTGAGGGTCTTAACCTTTGACCAATTTTCTTTGGTCTTAAATGTACGTACGTGCAATATCAGAAAACTCTTGAAATAATCCATATAATGTACGTAGTCTATAGTGTGATTGCCGTTGGTTTTCACGAATTTCATATTTGAAAAATATAAATAAAAGAATTTTTTTCAATTCCTTTTTGCACAATATTTTTTAATAGTTATGCCACAGTATAAAGATTCTATATAGCAGCTTCATCCACGCCCATATATCCGTCTCCTGCCGAGGCTTCATCACGAGTTCCCCGCTTTACAATAAGGGTGTAGAGTGTTTTCTTTTATAAATATGTACATACAGCTCTTCTTCGATGTTATTCTATGTTTTGCTTTAAGTATTCTTTAATTATTTATTTTATTTCAAGCCATACACATTAAGTATATTCTATACCATTGCTGGGCAACGTGAGGTCTCGAGACCGCATCCGTCTTCTGCAATTCTCTTGTGCGGCCTTCATGAAAGCTAGCCATTCTATTCGTTATCATCATCATCATCATGGTAAGGTCGTCAGTTCTGACTTTTTGTAAGTCATGGTATTATCCTATACTATTGCTGAGTAACGTAAGGTCTCGATGCCGCATTCGGCCGCCGTGGTTCTCTTGTGCGGCCTTCATGAAAACCATCCATTCTATTCATCATCATCATCATAAAGGTCGTCAGTCCTGATTTTTTTTTAAGCTCCGGTATCACTATATAATAGTGCTGGGAAACGTGAGGTCTCGAAGCCGCATTAAGCCTCCGCGAGTCTCTTGTGTGGCCTTCATGAACGCTAGCCTTTCTATTCATCATCATCATCATAAGGTAGTCAGTCCTGAGTTTTTGTAAGCTATGGTATTACCCTATATTAGTGCTGAGGAACGTGAGAAATCGAGGGTGTATCCGGCCTATGCGAGTCTATTATGCGGTCTTCATGAAAGCCGGCCATTCTATTTATCATCATCATCTTAAAGGTCCTCAGTCCTGATTCTTTTTAGGTTATGGTATTACTCTACACCAGTTCTAGGGAACGTGAAGTCTTGAGGCGATTCTCTTGTGCAGGCTTCATGAAAGCTAGCCATTCTATTAATCGTCATCATCGTCATCATAAGGTCGTCAGTTCTGATTTATTTTAACCTTTTAACCCATGATATTACTCTATGCTAGTGTATAGTATGAGCAATAATAAGACTTTCGTTTTTTGTAAACCTTTAATCAAGCATTTAACACTGAATACCGAATACAAAAAGATAAACTTACAGTGAAATAGAACTGCGGTGCTAGAAGCACGAACAGAGAATTCAGAATGAGAATATATTAAAAGTAGAAAAAGGAGACTGTGGTAAATAATAATTAATTAAAAAATTAAAAAGATAGTATTTTGGAGGACTACTTAAAAGTGCTTTTTTGTTAGTTTTCTTCAAAGCAAAGCTATACGGTAAGTCCATTATTTATAGTTAATAATAATTTTATTGAGACATTTTAGTTAGTACTTCACTAACTATGTTTTATTCAATCTTTTAAAGAACCGGCATTTAGAGCCTGATTGTTTAAGAATAAACAAATTATTCGTGCAAAGGATTAATTAGTTATTCAAATACGATATGTTCCCAAGGCAGTTTCGCGATTTTCGTGTTTTAAGGTTAATATTTTTTATTAATACTTAATAGTAGTTCTCCTCAACCTATAGTCACGTTGTGGGAAAACGTTAGTCTGTCTACATAAAACAAAAAGCAAGCGATGTACATGTATGCACGTTAATAATGTGATAATGTGTTTGATAAGAGATTATCATTTTTATTCTNATTTGGAAATATTTACCAACCTTAATAAATGTTTGCTAGCATGAAAAAGAATTCTCTTGATGTCATGAACTGCGCACCGACAGCTTCTATTAATTTTATGAAATGGCAAAATTATAGTAGTTTTTTGTACACAAAAAAAATATTCCCTTATGAATTAGTTCTAACAACAAACTTCTGGTAGCATCATAAATCATAATATATCAGCAGTTAACGGAATATGACAGTAAAATAACGTGAGAAGATAAATTTATAATTTTTTCAGATTTATGTATGCAATGAAATTTAATCTGCATTTAAATTTATCGTAACTAATGAAAACCAGCAGAGAGGCGCGTAGGTTTAGGCGATAAACTAGGTACAAGTGTATATTGTATTGTAACGAGCACGAGTGTGTTTGTGTGCGATGGGGCATACGTGTGCGTGAACGGCTTATTGATTCGCCGACTAGCCGCTGGAGCCTTTCTTCATGTTTGCCGTATTTGTAAATTTGTGTGTCGTACCTTCGTTCTGGGAAAGCAGTTAAACAGTTCAAAGAAAAATAAACTATCCGGATGTTTTCAGAAGGTTCCCGAAAGTAAACAAAAGAGTATTTAAAGGAAGAGACGATCGCCGAGAGGAGAAGAAATAAATTGACCGTTGCAGAAGTGAATCGGGAAATAAATTAACAGTGATAGCAGTGAAATAAATAGCACAGTGAANTATCTCGAAAAGGGTTAAATGCTCCTTAGAAAGTATCTAGGCAAGCAACACACCCGTAGAATTAAACATGGTCCTTCGAGCCGGATATAGTGAACATTTTGATCTCAATTTAAATTTCGCAAAACGTAATTCATCTTATACATCGCGGACGAGCAGATCAAAGTTCATCAATATCGTTTGAATCAATTGATTGCAGGAAATCGCAACACTCTGTAGGTCTCGCATGTCTAATTTAGTTAATGTATGAATTTACTATTAGTGACTGCATACATACATTGTTTAAATTAACAGTTTACCTATACATACACCAACATATTTTACTTTACAATGGTCAATTTATTTTTTAGAACAATATTCTATTCATATTTCACGGTGAAAATAGAGAATAAGTTTTTTTTTATATATGCAATTAATCTCTAGTTCAGGAAACAAAGACAAATTAAGGTGACATGCAAAATAATGAAAAGACCATGATAGAGCTTCATTTATATAATAAAAAGAAATTGTCTATTCAAACAAGCACATTATACGAGGGTTTACACCTGATTGTTACAAACAATCCCTCATAACAATACTGTAAACAATACTCTATGTTATATCTATACAATACCTTATTATTTGGCACAATAAGCTGTTCAACATACAATGATGAAATTCGGTCCAACAGGACATTGAGGGTCTTAACCTTTGACCAATTTTCTTTGGTCTTAAATGTACGTACGTGCAATATCAGAAAACTCTTGAAATAATCCATATAATGTACGTAGTCTATAGTGTGATTGCCGTTGGTTTTCACGAATTTCATATTTGAAAAATATAAATAAAAGAATTTTTTTCAATTCCTTTTTGCACAATATTTTTTAATAGTTATGCCACAGTATAAAGATTCTATATAGCAGCTTCATCCACGCCCATATATCCGTCTCCTGCCGAGGCTTCATCACGAGTTCCCCGCTTTACAATAAGGGTGTAGAGTGTTTTCTTTTATAAATATGTACATACAGCTCTTCTTCGATGTTATTCTATGTTTTGCTTTAAGTATTCTTTAATTATTTATTTTATTTTAAGCCATACACATTAAGTATATTCTATACCATTGCTGGGCAACGTGAGGTCTCGAGACCGCATCCGTCTTCTGCAATTCTCTTGTGCGGCCTTCATGAAAGCTAGCCATTCTATTCGTTATCATCATCATCATCATGGTAAGGTCGTCAGTTCTGACTTTTTGTAAGTCATGGTATTATCCTATACTATTGCTGAGTAACGTAAGGTCTCGATGCCGCATTCGGCCGCCGTGGTTCTCTTGTGCGGCCTTCATGAAAACCATCCATTCTATTCATCATCATCATCATAAAGGTCGTCAGTCCTGATTTTTTTTTTAAGCTCCGGTATCACTATATAATAGTGCTGGGAAACGTGAGGTCTCGAAGCCGCATTAAGCCTCCGCGAGTCTCTTGTGTGGCCTTCATGAACGCTAGCCTTTCTATTCATCATCATCATCATAAGGTAGTCAGTCCTGAGTTTTTGTAAGCTATGGTATTACCCTATATTAGTGCTGAGGAACGTGAGAAATCGAGGGTGTATCCGGCCTATGCGAGTCTATTATGCGGTCTTCATGAAAGCCGGCCATTCTATTTATCATCATCATCTTAAAGGTCCTCAGTCCTGATTCTTTTTAGGTTATGGTATTACTCTACACCAGTTCTAGGGAACGTGAAGTCTTGAGGCGATTCTCTTGTGCAGGCTTCATGAAAGCTAGCCATTCTATTAATCGTCATCATCGTCATCATAAGGTCGTCAGTTCTGATTTATTTTAACCTTTTAACCCATGATATTACTCTATGCTAGTGCTGTGGAACGTGAGGTCTCGAGGCCGCATCCGTTTTGTGCAATTCTCTTGTGCGGCCTTCATGAAAGCTGGCCATTCTATTCATCATCATCATCATAAGGTCGTCAGTCCTGAGTTTTTGTAAGCTATGGTATTACCCTATATTAGTGCTGAGGAACGAGGGGAATCGGGGGTGTATCTGGCCTATGCAAGTCTATTATGCGGTCTTCATGAAAGCCAGCCATTCTCTTCATCATCATCTTAAAGATCGTCAGTCCTGATTCTTTTTAAGTTACGGTATTACTTACAGTCCTAGGGAACGTGAGGTCTTGACGCCGCATTTGGCCTCCGCGAATCTCTTGTGTGGCCTTCATGAAAGGCTAGCTTTCTATTAATCATCAACATAAGGTCGTCAGTCCTGATTTTTTTTAAGTCATGGAATTACTCTATACCAGTGCTTAGTAACGTGAGGTCTCGAGGCCGTATTCCACCTCCACAAGTCTCTTGTGCTGCCTTCATGAAAGCTGGGCATTCTATTCATCACCGTCATCATAAAGTCGTCAGGCCTGATTTTCTGAAGACATGGCTTTTTTCAGCCGTTTTTAAATCGGGAGGCAATGAAATTAGTCATTGAATTCATGCGACATGCGCAGAAATCTTTCTAATGAATTATACAATCCACAATGACTTTCTAAACTCTAATTAACTCACTACTATTTCGCCAATCATCAATTTAATGACGAGGTTTCCGCTCGGGTAGCAATTCACATGTAGCCTGAGAAAACCTTGTCTCTTCCCTCCAACGTAATGTACTATTTTGGAATTTGTAAATCAATCGTTCGCAAGCATAGAAGTAGGTATTAACAGATCAGTACTGTATGAAAATAAATAAAAGTAAAACTAAAATACTAGTATGCAAGGAAGAGTAGGGAAAGAGCAAATATAAACATAGGAGACGAAAAATGAAGAAGTGGCTGTTTTTAGATATCTAGGAAGTGAGATAAGTCAGCGCAGGGTCGTATCGCCTTTAATAAAAAGAAGTCACTTTTATGCTTGCGAACGGTTAATTTAGAAATTCGAAAAAGGTTGTTAAAGGTGTATGTTTGGAATGCGGCGTTATACGGGTGCGAAACATGGACAGTGGACGCGGCGGAAAAGAAAAAATTAGAAGCTTTCGAAGTGTGGTGCTATAGGCGAATGATGAGGATAACGTGGGTAGAAAAGGTTAGAAATGAAGAGGTATTAGAAAGAATAGGAGAACAGAGGACTCTGTGGAAGTCAATAAAAAATAATCGAGATAGGTTGGTAGGACACCTTCTCAGACATGAAGGTCTAGTCAGAGACATATTAGAGGCAGAAACAGAAGTTAAGAAGGGTAGAGGTAGACCTACTGTTCGCAAATAGTTATGAATGTGGGTTGTTCTAGTTTTGGAGAAATGCGAAGATTAGCTCAGGATAGGAAAGAGTGGAGGAACGTGTCCAATCAGTCTTAGGACTGATGACCTTCTGATGATGAAGCATATAAGTGAAGTCTTTTTGTTAAAGAGGATTCTACCCTGCGCTAACCTGTGTTTTATGTCTTTACTGATCCTTCCATCCTGAGTTATTTGACTTCCTAAATACCGAAAAGCAGCCACAACAGGAAGAAAAATTCTCCTGGTCATGTTTATTGGTGTTCAGCATCCTCAACTCATAGACCTCAACTGCTCCGTTCATGTTATAACAAATAATAATCTGACACCCACCTTTCAACATTGGTGCAACGTTCTAGTAACTTTGTCACCTGCTTTTGCAATTGGCCCAAATTATGCAAATTTACCTTCCTTTATAGCGTTCAAAACCTTTAAAATAAATAAAACGATATTTGTCGCAAAATGTTTTAAAAAGAAGCTCTAATGCTTTTTATTTTATAATAAACTTTCTTTTCTTAAAAAGTCTCACAGGCGAAGTGTTTCAGTATTTATTATTTTACTATCATCATTGCTATTTATTAATTGCACACATATTAGATTTGTGTAACTTGGCTAAAACCTATTAATGCGCGTTGAATACCTACTTACTGTACGTGTAAAGAATCGAAGATTGATCACATTTATGTGCAACCGT